ATGGGTGCGTCCCAGGAGAGAATCAATTTTCTCAAAACTTTCAGCTTGGCTTTCAAAAATGGAAACATGTGTGGGTTGTACCCATTACCGTAATAAATGGCTTTTTTGCTCATGCTGGCTGTATGCTCTTGGCTTAGCGGCTTGGATGGGAAAACCCCTCTTCTCTTGTATTGACGATACATACCTTAGAGAAGGCTTGAAGCATAGTAAACAACAAGTAGCAGAAAATTAGCATAAGCAAACAGGTAAAAATGATAAACAAATAAATAAATAAGCAAATACCACAAACAAATCAAGTAGAGGCATAAATGGGTAACACATGTTCCCTTCTTAAAGCCCCATGAATCCTCAGAAAAGGGACAGAGTGCGGATTCATACCTTTCCCACCCTTATTATTGATATTAGGAACTATAATCCGCTCTAGTGTGACAAGCAGTGTCATTTCGAGACAACTGTCAAGTTAGTCAAACAAGGCAAAGCATGCGACGAGACAACTAGTAAAGGATGATTGCGTGCTTTGAACAGATCAGATCTACCCCTGAACATCCCCTCTCTCAGTTACTGATGAAATATTCTGAGGAGTGGATGGAAAACAACATGAGATTCATGCATAATAGAGCTGCAGTTGTCACAATTACGCCTTGGAGCATTCTTACAACTGAAAAAATACTTCTGTAGTAGGCTGAGAGCTGAATTTCTGTTCCAGGAGAGACAATGAATTCCCACATAACTTCGTTTTGGCTTTTTTCGATTGTAACGACTCGATTTTCCTATTTTTGCATTTTTCTATTTTTTACAGAGTGAATTATTTTACAGTAAGACAGTCAGTCGAGTAATAACAACTTGTTCATACTTACTTTGATGGCGTTAATGATGCGAAAATCCTCCGTAATCGACTTCGAGCGACACGTGGCGACATTTCTGAACAGACATCTGTCAGCGGATCATAATTATTACAAATACCTCATAAATGTGTATAAATTTAGATTCAAAGCAGTAATAAACATTAAAAACCAACGAAGCGATGGAGCCGAAGTCGACGACAAAAGAACAGTTCGTTTATGGGCCATTGAAGAGACTTGCACAAAGGATTGACGAGCTGGAGGGATCTGCAGGAATGAGGGAAAATAGGAGGAAGGAGGCGGGACATCCACCCAAGCTTGACTGATAGGTTGGTCAACACCTCCTAAACCTCTGCCTAACTGGGGTGTTCGGGTTAAAAACTTTATTTTTGAAATACTTAGAGACCTATTGATTTACAACTTTTTAAATTTTTTCCTTGGAATAGGCATGATTTTTTGATGTTATCGTACCTCTTACTCACTTAAGAGGAGCTTGAAAATAGTTTTATCTTCGGGGAGCGCAAAAGGACCTTAAAATTGAAAAAAATCTACTTAAGATAATATTTTTACCCATTGATGTACTATGATATATATTTGTATTATATTGTTATATTTTCTATTTATTTTAATATATTTTATCAGCAATAGTAATGCCAGTATGACGAGGTGGTGGAGTGGCAAGTGGCGCACTAATCCACAGGTCACGAGTTCGAATCCCTGATCGATATCCGCCTAGTCCAACCAAGCCTTACATCCCTAGGATGTCGGTTAGTTGGTCCCAGACTCGTCTGGGCGAATAGAAGCACTGACTTGTCCATCAAGTAACCACCGCACGGCATTGTATAGGCCACGTACGTATTCAAATAGCTACTACGATTTTGAATGAAGTCGAATGCGAGGCGCAACCCACGAACTGGATTGATGAGCTCCCAATACATCTTGTGCTATCGATCTATATTTTGGAAATCTCCAACAATCTTCCGGAATGTTCAGGACCTTTATTGGTAATCAAATGGGGGTATTTCTGTTGTTGTTGTTGTTGTTGTTGTTAATACCTTCTGTCAAGCGGTGTTATGTTAATAACTATTGGTTAACTACTGGAAAACGCAGTGGAGAGGACGAAATGGCGTGGAATCTCATGAAAACGATGGGCTCATCGATGGGATAAGTGACAGGTGTTTCTCTGAAATATTATAGAAACTTCAACAGCTTTTTTTGCCTTAATGGCACATTTAATGACATCTGCGCCTGGTGAATCGAAGAGTAGCTGCTGCTGTTACGAAGATGCTGTTTGCTTTATAGCAGATTTCACAGGACACGAATAGCCTTTGTTAACTATCCAGTTGCCAGGGCTAGTCTTACAATAGCCTACCAGTGACTAGTATCAACCGAGGGGACCAAAATGGCGAACACTAGAAATTTAGTTTGTGTTCAGCCAGTCCTGAAGCTGCGCGTAGGCTGTGTAGTGACAAGTGGTGCACTATCCCACACGCATGGTCAAGGGTTCGAATCCCGGGTCGTTATCCGCCCAGGCCAACCAAGCCTCCTAACCCTCCGGCGTCGATTAACTGGCACCAGACTCGTCTGGGAAGATTTAAGCACTGACTTGTACATCGGCTGGCCACCACAAGTTGATGTATCGGCTACATACCCATCCAATACGTCACTAATGATTCTCAAAGGAAGTCTAATGTGGGGCGCAACACTTAGACGGGATTGATCAACTCCCAAAGATTTATCCGCTAATTTTTAATCCTAAAAACTACGGTAGCTGATGATAAATCTCCAAGAAGACCTGTGAACAATGGACACGCCTCTCGACCCCACCTGAAGACATTTCCGAATTCTAAATCCAAACATAAACCCTTTCAGCAATTTTTATCTGCAGTTGCATTAAATGCTGAACGTAACCCCCTAGAAAATGGGTGGGTTGGCCTGTGAGACTGAAAGCAAACGACCACGAATAACTATAAAGAGTAAACGGTGAACGTCGTCAGAAAAAAAAATTGACCGAAAGCAAGTCCATGCCAAGTCAAGCTCTAAATTGGAGGAAGCACTGAAGCCTAACAAAGCCCCGGAGCCAGCGTGAGGCATAACTAAAGCTGGGGAGAGGAAAAAAGGTATCCATATCTTTCTTTCATACTGAATGGAAGACAGCTATAATTCTGGCTGATGGAGAAACCCTAACAGAGCCATGTTAACCTTACCATGCCCAGCAAGGCCCGTAAATTCTTCGTAACAACTCGATCGAGCCTTCAGAAACACTTGAGAATCGTTTCTTGAATAAACCAACCTAAAGTTCTGGGATTTTTGGTACCCTTCACTAGTGATCATAACCTTTCGTGAATCTTCAAATAGCTTTCGATCCCGTTTCAGGAAGGAAAGAGCTGCTTATTGAAGAAAATGTCTCTTCAACTTCATCTCCCAGTCGAGCTGGACAGCTATGGTTTGCCAGCTCTTCCAACAGCCCGAACAATACTCCTTCCAGTTAACTCTTTGAGTTACTCCCTTCCTCATCTCCTGAGTGAGCAGAAATTCAGGAATACAGGAAAGCACCCTACATCTATAAGTCCGACCCCGCTCCTTTTTGGAAAACGAAACAACGAGCTACGTGAATGTAGCGACAAAGGGTGAACCCTTAAGGTGAACAACCCTGACCTCCAGTCTTTTTACAAATTGAAAATTATTTACAAAACAAGGCTTCAAAGTTTTTTATCAGTCACAGATGATGAAGGGTCTCAATTTGAGAATCTCTTTCATTCACTGCATCGGCGAAAAGATCTTGAGAAGTAAAGTTTTTAGCCTAGCAGAGGCCAAAACTAAAAATGGGCGCATTACACCTCCTCAAAGGCGTTAAGACGGGATGTTTATCGTCCAGGATTCTGTTTACAATAACTGAAGTTAATAAACAAAACGTTTATCCATAATTCAGGCAAATGAGTATCAATCGTCGACCCTTCAAGAACTTGAGTTGTTGGTGGAGCAGAGAGAATTCCTTCCCTTTGACTCCTTAACCTCGTCGTAATTCAAGTAGGAGAAAAACAAGGCTCCACCTAATTTTTCCACGACCGTGCCCTACTCTACAAGAAAGCAGAATCGAAAAATTTTTGAAAAACTACTGATATTTTGATGAGAACCTCGTCCACTTGGAGCAGTTTTTGGTAGGCTGCTTGGACCACTCCCAACCATTTTCTCAAGAGCTTCTCCTTGACAAGCTCTGTCCCGGAATTAGTATTTCTTCTATCAAAACCTAAGAAATTATAGAGAAGGCCACTCAAATTGGTAAGCGTTCTTACTGTCTGCTGACTAACTTATTACAGTTAGTAAACAGTAATCAATAAACAACTAGTAAGAACAACCGAAAAGAGATGGATTGTTTGATAGCGGAGGCGATTCTAAGAATATGAATGGAGCAAACAATTCTGAATACTGCTCGCGACCCTGATTCTCAAAATCCGGTGGTTGTCCCTTTCAAATGAGCAAATATGGGATGAAAAATTAGCTATTATGTGATTAAAAAACAATGTGTCACGATAATCGAATTTGAGGCTTTGGAATTGGGGTTTTAGTGTTGAGAGAGGTATCAGGGACTGTTAGAATCGAAATTGGATCAGGAAATGAATCTCAAACCCTTATTGAGACTCCGTCAAGAATAATTTCTGTTACAGTAACATTTTGGGACATTTCTTCCGGACGGAATCTATTTACTCCTCTAGAGCTTCACCATGGCTATTGTCCGACGAGGTAGATTCGTTCACACAACTAGCCGCTAAGGTACGAATTGAAGGAAATTGGACATAACCGAGAAGCCAAAAAGACCACGCTCCTTTTTTCCATTCATATTAACTGTTCCAATTCTGGGAAGAGCATTGGCGAATGGAACCTGCTTTCCTCAATATACACCTTTGACTATGTTCCAGGAAGCCCGTGGGTGAATCCGCTTCTCTTTGGACTGTATTGGATCTCTTTGTAATTTCAAATTTAAAAGTTGTATGTTCATCAGATCCTTCTGTCGTCAGCTTCGCTCCCTTCTTGAGCTCGTTAGTTTACAGTGAGGATATGTAGCCTCAGCGAGGAAAAAGTGGCCTCTGCTAACAAGGGAAGCGGACTTAGGAACGGAATGGGATTAACACTCAGAGAAGGGAAAGAAAAAGAGTTCTAAATGGGTCCATTTGGGAGCAATGTTAACAAGATCGAATAAACAATCAGAGATTTCTCTAGCACAGCGGAATCCCTTATTTTGAAGAATTCAGAAATTTCCAACTTACCGGCAACGATTTCGTGTACTTCAGCTAATTCGCCAAGTTGATAGGGAGAGTCGAATGAGGGACCAGCACATCCCAGGAATCCTGAAACAAAATGCCTTCACAAAGATCGAAGGCAGTCGGATTTCAAAGTACTCGTAGATCTGAAGTTCACAATGTGGGTCCTGCCTTGAATGGACTGACTACGGCACAACCCGCAATCGGTTAGGCCCATCTACGAGCAAAGGTATGTTTAGGTAGTACTATATCTTTTTTTGAATGGCATCTATGTGTCTGATTTCTTAGTCGTCTAGGATATGTCTAGTCTCCACTTTAAGTGATTACTGTATGACGAAATCCGCAGATTTCGAAATCCATCTGAGGTGATCTGGAGATTTTAGTCATTCCACCAAATTATCAAGGACTGATGCGCCGAAGAAGGGAGGAGTGGGGTTGGTGAGGTCTTGTAAGCTGAAACGTGGTCTCTCATGTAAAGAGTGTAGCTTAGAGATAGCAAGAGCTCAAAATTACGTCCTTTGGAAGTGGAAACACACACTATATCTAATAGTTCCAAAACTGAAAATTAGTCGGAAAATACAGCTCACAGAAGGTAGCAGTCAATTAGCCAAGAGGCGGAAAAGAAAAACAACAAAGGAGATGGGCTTTCGGCTCTTTCCGTGGAAAGAATGACAAGAATGGAGTCCAGCAAGCGATTATAATTGATGTGAGGTGAATCATTGACATTCCGCAAAACAACGGCAGAACAGCAATTTTGGCTCTGGTGGAGTGCGCCATGCATACATGACCTAACAAAATACAGCTTGATTCATGGCCCAAGAAGCAGTGAAAAGACAGTTGCTCCTGCTGAATCTGATCCTGCTCTAGCAGACCGAATTTTTAACTTTTTAAGGCTACGTCTTGCCAATTACTCGTTGTCATCAGTCTATCCCAGAGGATTGAAACAATTTAATCCTTCTTTGCGACCGATTGTGTGGGTCAGGCGCATATTCGAATTCTCAAACTTTTCTGAACGGCAGTTAAATACATGGCGCATAATGGAATGAGACTAGTAAGGTTTTATAGAGCTGGGTAAAAACCAAGCCAAGTTGGGAATGCAGAATAACTAGATAGAAAAAGGAATACAATTAGAAAAGGCACAGAGCTAAAGAAAGCCGGAGAACCGGGACGGACAACAATGGACTCAATGAGGCAGAACGGCGATTAGTCTCATTGTAGCTTGTAAACAACGGCATCCGAGTCTGTTTTAAACTTCTTCCTCTAGACTTCAATGTTCCAGAAACGACTGGAACGTGCCTCACTACCAATTAATCCCTCTATGGGGCAAGAAAAATGTCTGGGACTACAAATTCGACTTCCCTTCCAGTCGCAGTGACGCCAAAATGAATACTATGTTCATAAGGGGCCAGTCGGTTAAGCATGGGCCCCTTCAGCGTCGAAGAATGAGCCAGGAGTAACCGTAGGATTCATATGGCCCAATTTGCCGCTCGTCGCGTGCGAAAAATTCGCGAAGCGAACTAGGACGGTAAGGTCATTTGCACCGGGAAGTGATGACACCTTCGACTACTTAAGACGGCCCAAAGTTGTTAGAGTAGGTATAGGTGGTCAACTTCGTGAAATGTGGGTAATCGACCCCGTGAAAAGAAGACTCCAAGCAGAACTTCAAAAGTTAGGCTGGCACAGAGGTAATTCTAGTCGCGCTCTCGTAAGCCCGTAGACGAAAACAGAACAAATTACACGTCTTCCCTTTTGACGAAGTCCCACAGACGGCGGAGGAAAGCTAATTAGAATACACCCATCCATCCGTCATCGAAGCGAACCAGGATTTTTGGCTTTACAAAAAGAGGTTCCATTAAAAATTGGACAAATTCATCTTCTCTGTCAATTCGGAAAATAGCCAAAGCAAAGAAGGGATCAATCCGTTCAAGGTACCCTCGTAAGAGAGAAATTCGAATCGAGAAAATGCGGAGGAATCGCTCCCTGACTACACAGCCGAAGTATGAATCGGTGGGGAAGGACCCAACCGTTGGCCTCGTAGGAGATCACTACGGAGTTTAATTACTGAAAGATCTCAATTTCATTATCCTCAAGCATTCCCGGATCTGAACAGCACGCAAAATACTATTCGGAAAGCATCAGCAGAATGAAAATTACTTCACCCGAGTAAAACGGAGTGATCGGCCATTCCACAGAATGTCCAAGGCTCAGTGGTAACGGGGGACCCACTAGCGGGAGCGAATTCATGAAAACTGGTGTTTATTTCAGACCCAAACTATTCAAAGCTCAAGTTCTCACAGTGATTTCTCATGAAATATGTGGTAGAACGGGTTATTTCCTTCACTTATTGTTAGACTGGACTATTCTAGTGAGTTACAATCCTGCCTTATCCTTATCCTTATCCTTATCCTACTCCTCAACGAACGAAGTGGATGACATAAGATTCGGAGAATCCAATTAGTGGGATGTTTAGCGAAACTCGTAGTTTGCAAAAGGTGAAAAATAATGTCTTCTAGCGTTCAGTAATCCTGTTTGGGATGCACCTCCGCATCGGATTTCTATTCAGAATAATTGTTTGAGTAGAATTCGGCTCATACATGATTTGCGGTGACCAGCCGATCTACAAGTCAGCGCTTTTATCCTCCTGCACGAAAACGGTACCAATCAACCAAGGAAGGCTGGAGGGCCTGGTTGACGTGAGTGGGATATCGAATCGAAGTTCGATCCTCGGTCCATGCGTGCCATCGTGCTATTTCTACACATCACTTGTTAAGATATCAGCTAGTATTGTAACTCTCAAGTCCGAAAAGAAAAAGAGCAAAAGATTCTATGGCGAAGTACTTCATTTCCGAAAATCGGAAATTGAAACGAAAGTACCGAAAAGCGATATTCAAATAGGATCACTTCTCCTGCCTACACCCTAGCCATTCGAATATATGAATATATTGTATCCACACTGACTTTATACGAATAAACTTATTTTTATGATTTAGTCAACTACTGTAGGGTGGATGTGATTTAGTGGCAAGAGGCGCACTTCACACTCGCACGGTCACGGGTTTGAATCCCGGGTCAGTATACGTATACGGCTAGACCAACCAAACCATCCATCCCTTCGGTGTTGCTTAATTGGTGCCGGACTCGTCTTGGAGGACAAAACTACTGACTTGCACATCGGCTGGTCGCCGCAAGTCACTGCATGGGGTACATACGCATTCAAACCCTACTACGATTCTGAATGGAAGTCGAATAAGGGTGCCATACGGGATTGATCAACGTCAAGAGACCTTTAGACTTTACTAAACTACCGTTTGCTCTTCGGTAATGTAAAAGGCTAATAGCTATTACTACTGCTACTACATACTACTATTAATAGCCATTATAACTTCTACCCCTTCCAAATCGATTAGTCAAAATATTCATACTAGGCACTCCATTATTCATATTTTTATAAAATTATACTACAGTAGAACTCATGAATATAGTGAAGGTAATGAGGGAGTATCAGGGAACCAGAGATGAGGGTAAGGAGTAAGCAGACCCAGGAAATGAGCACTAGGAAGAGAGCAGAAGAACTTCTGCCCGTTCGGTTAATATTCATGAGAACAGCAAATGGACCATTACCCCTGCCATTAAAGTGATAGTACAAAGTCGTTGGTAGGATGCAGTATTCGGCTGGGTTTTGCATTTACGATTTATGGGTACCTAGGGATTCATATCCTTATATGCACATGCATATCATACGTATTGATTACTCGTTGACTACTTCGGGTAACTGAAAACTTACTGAGCCGTCGACTAAACATCGGACTGCAACCGGCCGACTTAGCATGAACCGGCGACAAATGTGCACCATCGGACGTGCCTTCCATGGGAGCCATCGCCACCGGCCGTTCCAACCACGACACTCGTCGACGGCGTGGTGGCATCTGGAACTAATAAATTAGTTTAAGTCCATAGCTCTGCGAGCTCCAGATCGTTACGAAAGGCGAACAGTATAGCTCCACAGTAATTAAGTTATTCGGAGATGCCACTAAACAAGCTGAATTCCGACTGGAGTGAGCCATGAATGCTCTTATAGGCATCATTTGGATGGTAGTAGGTGAAGAAAGGCCAGGCTTCATTCGATTTGGTGACCATAAACATGATGGGGTTGAAGTATGGAGAAGAAGAATGGATCAAAGTCCTGCTTGAAGATTTCCATCTTACCGGGGATCGGAAATCGGAAAGAAGAATTCCCTGCTGAGAAGATGTGCGAAATGGAATGTTTCGACGTTAAAAAGCTCGGATGTAAGTGTAAGGTATTATTTGGAAATCGCAGGCCCGGTCAAAACGCTGAAATGGGATTTTGTTTACCAACGATTCGAAGTTGTCAACTTATTATGAATCTCATATGTGTTTACAGTAAATACCCACTAATAGTTAAGGCAAGAATTTGTTTGTTTTTCTGCCTATTGCAATAATAACAGACAAATAATGAAGCCCAGAGGGGCCCAGAAAAGAATAAGGCAATTATGGCTTAAGCACAACCCAATTTGAACATTTATAAAGATCAGATTCGATTCTCAGCATACAAGGCCCTTATTTTCTTCGCTTCGATACGATATCGCGAGGATTTCGCTGGGAATGAGAGCAAAAATTGGATTCCAATCAAGTTTTCCGGGGAAGAATCCGAGGCCAGTCAATGTTCGTCCGATAGTTTCTGGGGGATGATAAGGTTTTGGTTCAAGGGCGCATGCATGTCAAAAGATCAAGCTCCCATTTTCTATAACCCTCCTATCCCCTCGGTGTCTCTTAATTACCCTCAGATCTGAAAAATGAATTTCTGCAGTTCCTACAACGACTGATCTGCTTAAAATCTGTCACAGTGTGAGACAAGTGCGCATTAACACGCTCCCACATTCTGAAGCAAAAGTCGAAAGCATGGCGTACTCCACAACACGATCAAATCAATACCAACAAATTCAGATTTCGCTCAAAATCCAACTTCAAATTCCATGCAAGGTCCTTTTCGAGACGACTGACAGCGTGCACTTCTTCAGACTGAGAATCTTACCAGTTCCAAACCCGCCATAGGGCATTCTTTCAGAATGAGCCTGAGCAACTTTTGCACGACGTTGTTTACTTGGTAGTTGAAAGCCTAATTGACGAGCAGTGACAGAATTAGCTCAATTTGAAGCCTTCAATGAACCTATCTTTAGTGGCAAAGACTTTTTCATAGGCTCGAAGGCCGGCAGAGAAGGAACATTCGTGAGAGCTGGAAAGGGATGTCTATGACAGAGTACAGCTGAACCTATTAACATGGTTATTAATAAGAAAAGGATACTCGGATGTAGAGCATTTCAATGAATCCCGTATATCTATGAATCGGTAATTAGCCCAGTTATTATACATATAAGGTCTTCGTGTTACCATGGTTTTTTGGAGTGCGCCACGGATTTGATTTCATGTTATCATACATATCTTCGTAAATGAGTAGAAGGGTAGAAAACGAAGCCTCCTGGGGCCGTAAGGTATGCTCTCCTGTTCGGGGCTGAGACGCCCCGATTCGAGTCTCTCCGCTCTGCTCTCCCCGAGAGCATCGATCTCTCTGCTCTCCCCGAGAGCATACCTTACCGGGAAGAGGACCCTCCCCTGTTCGGGGAGCATACCTTACGGCCCCTGGCGTTGATCATATCGCCATTTAGAATCGTAGTGGCACTTTAGTGTGTATGTGACCTCTCTAACAGGGTTTAATAAACGAAGTCAGGGTTTATGTAGTAATAATTGAAATTATTTATTTGATTTAATAGGTGTTGGATATTGAGTGGGCCGAGCTGGCGTAGTTGCATGTGGCGCACTATTTCACGTTCACAGTTACGGGTTCGAACCCCGGAACTATGTACCACTTTTAGGATCATGCAAGCGGTATCAGCGCCATTGGCCATTACGCCATCCTCTCCCTCCACAATAGAGACAGGCTACGAAGCAAGAAGGAAAACACAAAGAAGATGGAAATGAAAACGTGTGATAGATAGAGTAATATGATAATCAAAATAAACATATCAAAATGAAAAAACGAAATAGATTTTGGAAAAATATGAATTGATAGGAATACATTGAAATGATTTTCGTACCGAAGAAATCAATTGAAAAATTATTTAACAATATAATATATGTATGGTATATATGGAATATATGGTGATTCGTTCAGAACTGATCCTCCATCACCTTTCAGGGTCTACTTTTACCAATTGACTAGTTTTTGGGTGAAGATCCTCTCAAACTTATGTGGGAGAACAACTGAAAAGGCCTCAATCTGAAAGTGCTTCACAGACTGACGCAGGGTCCGAGGCCAATGGGAAAATATAATTATAAAAGGGAAGACTGATAGAGAGAAGGCTTAGACCGACGATGAAGGAGCATAATCCACCAGATCCGTCCCTGATAAGTTGCAGCTAAGGTGATTTGCAGCTGCAGCACTCTGACTAATGGCAAAAATCAGAGATTGCCATATCGAATCTGCAGCTTTTGAAGATCAAAGAACAGAAGTCAAGCGCTGAGGATGAAGCCACTCTTGGATTCACTCAGGCGGGAGAACTCACAGAGACTTTCAGCAGATTCATTAGATTTGTCCTTTGTGAGAGAAGAAGTGCGGAGTAATCAAATGCAACTAGGGAAGGTGTGTGTAACTCGAAGGAAAAAGCAAAAACAGTTAAACCTTATTAAAAGGAAGAAAATTCGGAAAAAAGACAAGCATTGAATCTGGTACTCAATGTTCATGGCGGAGGTGGTGCAGTTTCAAGTGGCGCACTGCCACACATGCACGGTCTGGGGATGGAATCCCACATCGGTATCCGCCTAAGTCAACCAAGCCTTCCATCCCTCTGGGGTCGGTTAATCGGTACCAGACTCGTCTGGGAGGATAAAAGCACTGACTTGTACATGAGCTGGCCACCGCAATCCTTTGTATAAGCCACATACTCATTCAATACGCCACTACGATCCTGAATGGTGGTCGAGGGCGGGGCGCATCCCCCGGATGGGATTGATTGATGCCAGAAGACTTCAAGAAAGATGATAAAAGTTCATTAATTATTTAGTTGCGAGAAGAAAGTTTCTAGGTACCTCGTATCGTTACCCAAACGCATCACCTTCAAAGCAGTTTTTGGCCACGTCTTCTACTTTCTAATGACAGTCCCCATTGATAAGGAAAGTTTGACCTTTCTAAGTGCCCAAAGGACTTTACATCGTCCCAGAGTCGCCTAATTGAAATAAATAATGAAAAACAAGCGGGTAAATAAGAAAAAGAATAAACAAATAACCGCAGTTGATTTAAGCCGTTCGCAATCAAATGGGCCGAATGTAATCGGGATCATATGCGTGGCGCGTCCTCAAAAAAGGCCATCCATACCAGTAGCTCAGATAGCCTTGTCTGAAGAAGCAACTACGTATATGATTTGCAAGAAAAGGAAGTGAAAGTACCCGGCTGAAAGTGATTGTCAAGGCTACCAATGGAATGGATGGAGGGTGTGAGAATGGACACGACTCTCTGCAGAAACTCGTTGTTATGGCAAACCATTGTTCGGCAAAACAGCACCCCCAAAGCCATCCGTTAATTACTTCTCTGGGATCTATCACGGGTATCATAATTCAACATGAACGGTTTTTCAGACGCC